ATAGAGCTTTGTCGATCAAGCAGAATATCTTCTAATGTATAAGAAGTATTTTCTTTTGATATTGCATTAAAATTTTACTGCTCTGTAAGGTTAAATTCAATGCCTATCAAATACAAACAACTTAACTTCATTTTTAAATAAATGTTAATTTACAACATCGTTTTTTATGCATGTTTATTTCCCTTTATTATTTCTCTATGCATGTAATATGTGTGTGTGTGTGTGTGTGTGATCTATTTAATGGATTTAAGTGAAGTAAGTGTCACCTTTAAAGTAGACTTTAAAATTTTGCCTACAAGAAATTGAATATAGTAAATATCTTATACAAATTATATTATTGCAGATTGCTTTATACTCACAAGATATTTTCCAGCCAGTATATTCAAAATTGAAAATATATGTTTAGTATTTTAAAATATCTATGATATAGATATCAATAAATGTTTTTTCAAAATTATGATAAATTATGTCATTATTTTAACAATATTTTAAAATAAATATCATGCATTTTTTTCAGAGATAATTAATGTAGCTTAAATGAACTTGCAAAAATCAATGTATTTATACAGTGAACATGGAAACAGATGGTATTAGGAGACCCAATATTAAATCATAAGAACCAACACTTAGAAAATTTCTCAATGTAAATTTCACACTATATAAATACTAAACAAATTAATTGATAAGCAAGATCTACCATATTTTTTTGTTGATTATGAATATTCATGAGATACAGAGCTGGTTGTCACCCCTCATGTCCTAGATGTGAAGGCCAGATTCACACTGGCAGCATACAAATTACCACAAATGGCATTCGTACCCTGTGTCCCCCACCCAATGAATCCCAGCCTCCCTCCCCCAATCCAATTTGTAGCCCAAGGAAAGTTCTCCCCCTCTGCAGGTCCAATGCCCTACTGTGATCTTTCTTTCCTTCCTTCTTTCTCTCTTACCTCCCACATATGAGTGAGCACAAGTGGTGTTTATCCCTCTGTGCTTTGCTTATTTCACTCAACTTAAGTTTCTCTAAGCTCATCCATGTTACTGCAAAGGGGAGAATTTCATTCTTTTTTATGACAGAGTAGTATTCCATGGTGTATTTATACCACAGTTTCCTTATCCAATCATCTATCAATGGACATTTAGGTTGGTTCCATATGTTGGCTATTGTAAACAAAGCTGCGATCAACATGGTAGTGCAGGTATCCCTTCGACATGATGATTTACATTCCTCTGATTTCATACCCAGTAGTGGGATTACTGGATCATATGGAAGACCTATTTGCTATTGTTTGAGAAACCTCCAAACTGTTTTCCATAGTGGTTGTACTAGTTTACAGTCCCACCAACAGTGTAGGAGTGTTCCCTTCTATCCACACCCTCACTAGCATTCATTACTCCCCATCTTTTTGATTATAGGCAGTCTAACTGGGGTGAGGTGGTATCTCAATGTAGTTTTAATTTGCATTTCCCTGATGACTAGTGATGTTGAGCATTTTTCTTGTACCTGTTGTCCATTCGTATGTCTTCCTTTGAAAAATGTCTATTCAGCTCCTTTGACCATTTTTAAATTTGTTTTTGTTTGTTTTTTATTGTGCAACTGCTTGAGTTCCTTGTATATTATGGATGTTAATCCCTTGTCAGATGCATAGTTAGCAAAAATTTTTTCCCACTCAGTAGGTTATCATTTCAGTCTCTCGATTGTTTCCTTTGCTGTGCAGAACCTTTTTAGTTTGAAATAGTCCCATTTGTTTATTTTTTTCTTTTACTGCTTCTGCTTTCAGGCTTATGTTCATAAAGTCTGTGCCTAGACCTAGCTCCTGAAGTGTTTCACCTATATTTTCCCTTAGTAATGCTATAGTTTCAGGTCTTATACTTAAGTCTTCAATCCATTTTGAGTTGATTTTAGCATACAGTGAGAGGTGCATATCTACTTTCATTCTTCTGCATGTGAATATCCACTTTTCCCAGCACCACTTGTTGAAGAGGCAATCTTTTCCCCAATGTAGCTTTTTGTTGCCTTTGTCCAGTATCAGATGGCTGTAAGCAAGCAAGGTGATTTCTGGGTTCTCAATTCTACTCCACTGGTCTCAGTGTCTATTTCTTATGCCAGTACCATACTGTTTTTGTTATACTAGCTTTGTAATATAATTTGAAGTCAGGTAGTTTTATGCCTTCAGCTTTATTTTTATTTATTTATTTTTATCATGACTGCTTTGGCTATTCAGGGTCTTTCGTTATTCCATATGAAGTTAGGATTTGTTTTCCATTTTTGTGAAGAATGTCATTGGTATTTTGATGGGGATTGCATTGAATCTGTAGATAGTTTTGGGTAGTATGGACATTTCAGAATGTTAATTCTTCTAATCCAAGAGCATGGAATGTTTTTCCATCCTTTTGTGTCTTCTTTAATTTTTTTTCAGTAGTGTTTTGTAGTACTTTTTGTAGAGATCTTTCTGGTTAAATTGATTCCTAGGTAACTTTTTTTATTTTATATTTTTTTGGTGACTATTGTATATCTGCTTGCCTTCTTGATTTCTTTTTTTAATATTTTGTTATTGGAATATAAAAATGGCATTGATTTTTTCATGTTGGTTTTGTTTCCTATGACTGTTCTGAAGTTGTGGATCAGTTCTAAACATTGTTTCAGTAGAGTCCTTATGTTTTTTTCTATATATAGGGTCATGACAATTAGTGATATTGAGCATTTTTCAGGTACTGTTGGCCATTTGTATGTCTTCCTTTGAATAATTTCTATTTATCTCCTTTGCCCATTTTTTAATTGGATTATTTGTTTTTCACTATTAAGTTGAGTTCCTTGTATATCCTGGATATTAATCCCTTGTCGGATGTATGGTTTGAAAATATTTTCTGCCATTCAATAGGTTGTCTTTTCACTGTGCTGATTGTTTCCTTTGCTGTGCAGAAGCTTTTTAATTTGATATATTCCCATTTGTTTATTTTTCTTCTTTTGCTGCTTGTGCTTTTGGGGTCTTATTCATAAAATCTTTGCCCAGTCATACATCCTGAAGTGTTTCCTTTATGTTTGCTTCTAGGAGTTTTATACCTTCAAGTCTTATACTTAAGTCTGTAATCCATTTTGAGTTGATTTTGGTATAGGGCAAGAGGTATGGATCTAGTTTCATTCTCCTGCACATGGATATCCAGTTTTTCTAGCACCATTTGCTGAACAGGCCATCTTTCCCTCATGTATGCTCTTGGCAATTTTGTCAAAGATCAGTTGATTGTTAGTACTCAGGTTGATTTCTGGATTCTCTATAGTGTTCCATTGGTCCATGTGCCCGTTTTTATGCCACTGCCATACTGTTTTGGTTACTAGAGCTTCATAGTATAATTTGAAGTCAGGGAGTATAATGCCTCTGTTACTAGAGCTTCGTAGTATAATTTGAAGTCAGGAAATATAATGCCTCTATTTCCCCCCGCCTCAGGATTGCTTAGCTAAAATATTCATTTTAAAGAATATCACAGAGTATAATTTTGCATAGAGAAGAGCCCAGTCATTACATAAATGGGAAATTATAGCTCTATTAAGCATCACCGAATCACATAAATGACTACGAGTCAGTTCTCGCACTGGGCCAATGGTTGATATGTGTTTTCTCCCAAGATCATTCTACTTCTAGTGGGCAACTGAAGGAGCAAAGGGAAACCTGGATCCAGAAAGGAGAGAATGAAGAAGATCTCATGCCTATACTTGAATATAAACCAAGNGAACAGGCCATCTTTCCCTCATGTATGCTCTTGGCAATTTTGTCAAAGATCAGTTGATTGTTAGTACTCAGGTTGATTTCTGGATTCTCTATAGTGTTCCATTGGTCCATGTGCCCGTTTTTATGCCACTGCCATACTGTTTTGGTTACTAGAGCTTCATAGTATAATTTGAAGTCAGGGAGTATAATGCCTCTGTTTCCCCCCGCCTCAGGATTGCTTAGCTAAAATATTCATTTTAAAGAATATCACAGAGTATAATTTTGCATAGAGAAGAGCCCAGTCATTACATAAATGGGAAATTATAGCTCTATTAAGCATCACCGAATCACATAAATGACTACGAGTCAGTTCTCGCACTGGGCCAATGGTTGATATGTGTTTTCTCCCAAGATCATTCTACTTCTAGTGGGCAACTGAAGGAGCAAAGGGAAACCTGGATCCAGAAAGGAGAGAATGAAGAAGATCTCATGCCTATACTTGAATATAAACCAAGTCTTCACCAGTATCCCAATCTTTGACAGAGTGTTTTGAGAATATAAAAATGTATAAAGTCATGTATGACTCAATAGATTTAATTTATATTTATAAAGAAAATTTAATTAATACATAAACAAAAAATTGTATAATTCAGTGGTAAAATCACCTACACCAAGGCAAGAATACTAGATAACAAATTTCAAGGTGAAAGAAGTAATACAATAGCAGTCATTCAGTAGTAAATAATCATTGATAACCCATGTCTAGGTAGAGCCATTGTTTGCCCCTTAAAATAGGTAATTTGGAAATTTTGTGACCTTATGTTTCTGATTCATTAATCCACATACTTATATAGAGAAATTTGTAAATCCTAAACACAATTCAGTGTGAGATAAATGTATAATAACAAAATAATAACAAAGCCATAATAAAGACTGAAAAATGAGCTTCCTATGCAAACTTATCATAGACATTAAACTAACAAAAACATGGTGAAGTGTTATAGTTGGGCATTCCAAATATAACTAAGGTTGTTTGTTAAAGGCATGTCCTCTCACTATGGAAATTCTGATGTAGTATCAAAGCATTCTAAATTATGAAGACTTATTTCTGCTTAATGAACTATAGATTCTGACACTTTAAAATGCAAATTAATGGAAAACATGCAGCTACCTCATGCCTGTGGTTTGCCCACCTATTATGGAGGGTGTATAAAATGCCCTATTCAGGCAGGGACATTCACACTGAGGAAATTGATAACCTTCTCTTCAACTGAACCTTTCACTCTCAACAACATGTGCTACTGCAATAACTATTATGGTGGCCTGGGCTGTGGCTATGGATATGGTTGTGGCTATGGTGGCCTAAGATGTTTTTATGGTGGCCTGGGCTGTGGCTATGGCTGCGGCTATGGCAGATATGGATATGGCTGCTACTGCCCATCTTGCTTTGGAAGATTCCGGTCCTATGGATTCTACTGAGAGACTTTTAGAGCCACTAGGCCAGTACAACTCTTCCTTCTATATTTTCCAACTATCCTTCCAGAGTCCTTTTCATAAGCAATTTACTTCTATTTCCAAGTAGAGACAATTTTATCCTTAACTATTTCATCTCGTGATGAATACTTCAGATACATCATGCTTCAACTTGATTGACCAAAGTCACGTATAAATCAC